GCTATAAACATTCGGGTGCAGGTGTCTTTTTCATAGAGCGACTTTTGTTCTTTTGGGTAGATGCCCAGTAATGGGATTGCTGGATCGAATGGTACTTCTAATTGTATTTCTTTAAGGTATCTCCATATTGCTTTCCACAGAGGTTGCACTAGTTCGCAGTCCCACCAGCAGCGTATGAGTGTTCCTATCTCTCCACATCCACGCCAACATTTATTGTTTTGGGACTTTTTTGTTTTTATTTCAGAGTATTGTGAGGATACAAACATTATAGTTACACTTTATGTCTTTGCCTCACCCAAATGTGGGTTAAAGGCATGCCCTTCCCTCCCTTCAGTGCTCCCCGTGTCCTTTAGTTGTAGGTTTGCCCCCTCATCCCCCTATGTTAGCGCATTATTAACTGGCAAACATTTAGTTGGATTTATTTCATGTCTGGAGTTTCTTATTCTCTTGTTTTAATTGATTAGCAGTTCATTAAATGAAATGAACAGGCCAATTTGATTAGTGCCACGTACAAAAGCCCCAGGAATCAAAGCAGAAAAATGGTCTTCTGCTTGTCCTGTGAGTACTTACAAATTTTAGATTTGAGTTTGTGAACAAAGAATATATAAATTACTTACTTTCTGCTTATGGGGAGGGAGCTTTGCGGGCAGCAAGGGTGAGACGAGCAGCGGCAGGTAGATGAGACTTATGCTTTATTGTCGGGGGGGGATGCAGCCACGGTGAGAACGTGGTGAGTGCTTTTATATGGCTCGGAACGACAGTGGCAATATTTCAAGCAAAGATGTCATCACATGGGTTTTACATAGGAAGTGACATCATGGTTACATAAGCGCTGACTAATGCCTCACTGCAAGGCCAGCAGATGACATGCTGGCAGTCATTTTAGTTTGGCTTAAGAAACTTATTGACTATACAAACAGATTTCCCCTACAGTGCACCCCCTAGGTAACAGGTTTTGTGGCTGACCCACAGGCCCACAGGGAGGTCCCTTGGGTGCAAAGGCCACAGTAACAATACAGGGAACAGCATAGTATTACCAGACTACAGTAAACAGCTCCTAACACTGAAAGGTCCAACGCCAGGATGATGAGAGGTGTCCCCACCATTGTTCTAACGGGTCTCCAGTTAGTTGTTGGATGGCCTGTACCTCACTGTCGATGTCCTTCAAGGCCGAGGAGATATATTCCTGGTGATCAGGTATACATACACAGGTATATATCAGGTATATATGACTGTGCATCTGCCCCCTTGGGCTGCAGTAAGGAGATCAAGGGTCATGTGGTTTTGCAAAACCACCTTTCTCATCTGGGTGACCTCATCCATCCAAAGGGTCAAGGCCTGCCTGGTTTGATTCAGGGCCGAGCAGTATGCTCCGCTAGGGCGTTCACTTCTGTCTCTACCTTAATGGCTCCACCCACAGGGAAAAAGATGGCTACTGGGTAGAACCACCATGGAGTCCGTTTCACCCGATGCTAGTGGGACAACACAGCATCCCAATTATGTGATTTCTTGGTAAAGGTGGGGAGGACCTTCCCTGGGATATATGGCCATCCCCAAGTGCACTTGAGTGCATCTTCCCGTTTAGTGAGCCAGAAGGTAAAGCCACCCATACCAGGCAGTGCCTACTAGCCAACCTTGGATTTTCCATGGAGGTAACCAGACAGTGAGGCCCTTAAACATGGTCCAACTAGCAGTGCAGACGTGCAAAAGGGACAGCCCATGCATGACCACTATTTACACGGCATGCAATTCAGCCCATTGGCTTCTCTGCCCCACCCCCATTTCAAACCAAATTTCATCATGCTCCAACTGGACAGCCACTGCCGTCCATTGGGCTGAGGGGTCACGACTGGACCCATCAGTATACCATACCTCCACTGGAGGGAAACCTCATCCTTCAAGGTACAGGCTCTCTTCCCTAGGTACTACTGTGGTCTGAGGGTCAGCATCAGATACAACTTCAACAGGGCCACATACTGTCTGCAACTCTGAAGTCAAGGGGCTGGAGCTGAACTCTCTTCATAGCTCCAAATAAACTCCCCACTGCAGCAGAGTGGGCATCTGGGCTATCCCTGATCATGGGCTGGCTATCCAGGCCCTCACCCATCCTACTATGGGGTATGTAGTGCTCACTAGCACCTTAGACTGCCCAGTTATAGCTTCACAGGCCTGAAGGGTGGCATACACAGCCGCCAGCTGCTTTTCCACCAAGGAATAGTGCTCTTAGGAGCCCTTCTAAGTCTGGGACCAAAACCCAATAGGGACTTGCAGCTCATGCTGGCATTGCCACAAACCTCAGCCCATCTGGCATGCGTTGTCACATTGAGGTCAAATGGCTGTGAGCAGTCAACCACTTGTAGCATCTGGGCTTATGCGACAGCCCTCTTGGCTGCCCTCTGCCTCCGGGGACCAGTCCCACTGCGTCCCCTTCTTACATAATGCATGCAAAGATCATAACAGTTGGGCCAAGTGGGGAATGGATATACGCCAATATCTCAAGAGCCCCACAAACACTTGTAACTGTTTCACCATAGTGGGTCAGGGGAAGGCTTGAATCTTACCTATAACTGCCTCAGGGATTGCTTTCGTCTTACCCAACAAGACAACACCCAAGAATTTGACCGACAAGCCAGATCCCTGGACCTTGGAGTCAAAGGCAGGTGACAGCTTCTTCTAGATCTGTAAGGGAATCAGAGGTTAACGTTATATCATCAGTATAATGAAACAAGTACATTGTTTTGGATGGCCGATTCCATGTGGCCAAGTCCAGTGCCACCAAACCATGACATATGGTCGGGCCATGGAGGTAACTTTGCAATAATACCACAAATGTCCATTGTCGTCCTTCCCTTAAAAATTAACGCCAAGGTTTTCTTTCTTTTCAGATCCTCAAGTATGTTCCATGTAATGAAGCACAGTCACTACAGTTCCCGATTTGGCAGCAAACTTGGGTTGCAGTGCATCGGTATGCATGAGAACGGCATCATATTTAACAACAATCCAGCCCTCTGGAAAGCAATTCGACCTTTCTTTATAAAAGGTGAGCAGGTACCTGGCTGCATTCTTCTTCTTCTTCTTTCTTCTTCTTCTCCTTCTTCTTCTTCTTCTTCTTCTTCTTCTTCTTCTCCTTCTTCTCCTTCTCCTTCTTCTCCTTCTTCTCCTCCTCCTCCTCTTCTTCTTCTTCTTTTCTTTTTCTTCTTTTCTTCTTCTTCTTCTTCTTTCTTCTTCCTCTTCCTCCTCTTCCTCTTCCTCTTCCTCTCCTTCTCCTTCTCCTTCTCCTCCTTCTCCTCCTTCTCCTTCTCCTTCTCCTTCTTCTTCTTTTTTTTACTATGAATGTATCTTTTTTTTGAAATCATGTTTTAAATTCTGCTGTATCACAGCTTTGAAATAATAATAATAGAAGAAAGAGCTAACATTCATTATACCTTTATTGCTTTATTGTATAGTAGGCTCTGTTCCAAACACTTGATATTTTAATCCCACAACAACTCATATGATAAATGCTCTTATTTACACTTTACAGATGAGAAAACTAAGGCATTAAGAGGTTAAGTAACTTCCCCAAGGTCCCAAAATTAGTAAATAGCAGCCCAGGATACAACCCCAGAGCTTACATTTTTTAGCCACCACAATTTTTTTTCTTCCTGTTGATGTAAGAAGCAATGTCATGGATATAAAGAAGAGAGGAATCTGTATCCTTAGGGCCATTTCAGTTAAGAATTTAGTGTTTCAGCCATATGTTCCATTTAAACATGGCCAAACAACGTGTTTGCTGAATCATTGACTATCGGCCTAGATGTCTTAGCAGAAAGCAATTTGTGAATGAAATCAGAAAACTTTAGAACTGGGAAGAACAATTTATGCTGTCTCATCTAGCCTCTGAGTTCTGCAGTTGAGGAAATACAGTCCTAGAAAGGTTGTGATTTTCTCCCAGGCAACATAGTGACTAATGGACGAGCTGTGACCCAGTTCCAAGCCGTCTTATCCAGTGATTTCCCCCTTTTACATATCAAGCTGGAGATGAAGCTGTTAGGAAATACATATGACTGGCCTATGACATTAACATCAAGCATGAAGAAAGACAGTCGTGCCCCAGAAACCTTGTCAGTAGTGGAATCTGGGGCTGGGGGGACTTTGTGTCTGACTCCCTGTCCCTGGATATTCTTCCCTCCAGCCAGCCTGTGCAGTGAGCCTCGCCACCTCCTGTGTGGCTGCTCAGACAGGCAGAGCCACGCCAGTGCTGCCCCTCACCAAGACTCAGCACAACACTGTTGGGGACCCCAGTGTGTTAGTTTCCTGTTGCTGCTGTAACAAATAACCACAAGCTAAGTGGCCTAAAACAACACATTTATTATCACACATTTCTGTAGTCAAAAAGTCTGACCTGGCTAAAAAAGTCAACAGACTAAAAAATCGAAGTGTCAGCAAGGCTATGTTCCTTTCTGGAGTCTCTAGGGGTGAATCTCTTCCCTTGCCTTTTCCAGCTTCTAGAAGCCACCCATGTTCTTTGGCTCGTGGCCCTTCCCTCTGCCTTCAAAGCCAACAACAGCGGGTCAAGTCCTTTTCGCATCACCTCTCTCTGACCCTCCTCTGTCATCACATCCCTCTCTGACTTTGGCCTCAGTTGGAAAAGGCCTTGCTTTTAAGGACTCATGTTTTTAGATTGGGCCCACCCAGACAATCCACAATCATCTCCCCATCTCAAGATCCATAATGTTAATTATGTCTGCCGAGTCCCTTTTTCCATGTGAGGCAACAGGTTCCAGCGATTAGGACCCAGACAATTGGCGGGGGCGGAGGCTATGATTCTTCCTACCACTCATATTGGGGAAGGTCAATCTCCTTCATTCCTTCCAGAATGGACTAATGGAAAAAAGTATAGGACTCAGGGTTGTAGGTTGTGGGTTCAAGTCCCAGCACTGCCTCTTACTAGCTGTATAACCTTTGGCAGTCACTTAGCCTCCCTGAGCTTCAGTTCCCTTAGCCACAAAAGATGACAAATATCATAAAACTTGTACTCTAGGGCTATTGTAAAGAACAAATGAAATAATGCTGTAAGATCCCATAGAAATGTGAGTGTCATTTTACTTTGTTGTTTGGCTCAGGTGCATTAGGAATATGTGAACTACTATTTAGGAACTAAATACTAGTGAACTAGTTAACTTTCACATACCAATATCCTCCCTGACATGCAAGAGCTGATAGAATCTCTAAGTTCATTCATCTGTGTAACAAACTACCGTTTTCATCATTGAGCTAGATGCCAAGATACAGAAACAACAAGACACAGTCCCTGCCCTCAGGGAAATTATATGGAGCGTGGGGGTGTAGGGAACTGACTTGGGAAGGGAAAGACCAGCACATCACCAAATAGCATCATAGGGTGGTAACGCGAGGGGTGTGCACTGAGCAATATAGAGACCAATGGACCATCTTAAGCTCACTGAGGGGTCAGGGGAGACTTTTCAGAGGAGTGGATGCTTACAATAAGTTTTGAAAGAAGGTAAAAGCTACCTAATTAAGAAAGTGTGATGAAGAAGGACATTCCAAGAGTAAAGAGCAGGATATTCAAAAAGGCAGAGAAGGATAGATTAACGTGTCTTGTCCTGGGTCCTGCCAGTAGGCGCTTACGCCTGTTAAGCCAAGGAGTTGAGCTTATCTCAAAAGCTATGGAAATCACTAAAGATTTTCAGCAGAATGACATGAAGATGTTTGTGTTGTAGAACAATCCCTCTAGTAGTATAGTGAATGGGTCAAAGGAAGGAAGTGTGACTTCGTGGGCAGCGAGAACAGTTAGGAGCCACTGCAGGGATGAGTGGCAAATGGAAGGGAGGCCACCAGCAGGAGATGTTAAAAGAGTAGACAGTGCAGTGCTTGGACATGAAACGAATCAAAACCTCCTTGTGACCTGTTTTAAGATTAGCCCTGTATGTGGAAGATCAGATTTTATAATAAAAATGCTACAGAACTGGACCCAAATTCAATGCCAAAAATAGGGGGCTCATTGCTTCTCCAAAGTTCACTATAGTATTTGACGTTTCTATAATCAATCAGAGTCCTAAACATTTCTTGATGGATTTCCTTGCAGAGTTAGGTTCCTTGTTGGTTTTCTAGATATAGTAGAAAGTTTGGGACAGGTTTTGGTATCTTAATCAGTAACATTAATCAAAGTATTGACTTACTGGATGTGTCTGTGCAGAAATAGTTAAGTGTAATTTAGGCAATGGCCCGTCTTGGGAGGTTGGGAGGGGTAGGGGGTGAAGAAATAGCATGTGCTTCCTGAAATTGCCAAGAAAGTTTTCTAAATTGTTGGAATTGGCTGATTACTTGCTCAATTTTCTTTCTCTCTCTTTCTCTTTCTTTCTTTCTTTCTTTCTAGACAAGGTCTGAAAGCTAGAGTGCACTGGCATCATCATAGCTCACTGCAACCTCAAACTCCTGGGCTCAAGTGATCCCCCTGCCTCAGTCTCCCAAGTAACTAGGATGATAGGCATGCTCCACCACACCTGGCTAATTTTTCAACTTTTTATAGAAATGGGGTCTCGCTCTTGCTCAGGCTGGTCTTGAACTCCTAACCTCAAGCAATCCTCCCACCTCAGCCTCCCAAAGTGCTAGCATTACAGACGTGAGCCACTGCAGCCAACCTCAATCTTCTTTTGACCTCAATCGATTCTGTACTTTTTAGCACATTTTAAAAATTAAATCATGTCTACATTGTACCACTGCCTATAAGCAATTATATTAAATTTTGCCTGTAAGTTTGAAATGTGGCTTCAAGTTCTTAAACATACAGGCAAATCACTCACCAGCCTGGGAGAAAACCACCGGTGACATTCTAAGCCAACCCTTCCACGCGAAGTGTTGAGTCATTAAGGAATCATTTGTCCCACTTACCGATGTGGTAGTCACCCAGAGAACAACATCCGGGCCTTTCACATCTGCGGCGTTCTTCCTTGGGTCAGAAAATAAGCTCCTACCAACTTTCCTTTACATATCTACGAAAATCTTAAAAGTCTAGGACCACTCCTCGGGTCTACTTTCTTATTTGTAAAGTCTGCCTTCAGGCATGAGGCTTCTGTAGCATAACTGATTTTCATTTTTAAAAAGTTTTTTGAGAAAGAGGATATAGTCTTTTGAAGTTATGCCTACAAAGTTCCCCAGGATTTTTCATCTCATTTCAAGAACTCCGACTTTAACAGCAAGTCTAAATAATAAAAGACTTTAAAAAGAGAGATTACTCCTAGAGGAAGTTCAAGGAAACTTAGGACAAAGAGAGAAAGGAGGACTTTGGGAGTTAAACCCTCATGACAGGCCACCTACCATCAGGACCCATTAGCCACTGCTCCCATGGTCAGGAACTGAGCAAGGGCACGATCAGAGCCACTTCGTTCATTCATTCATTCCTCTGTTTGACAAATATGTATGCGGGGCCTCTACGTACTATTTAACTTGAAATACTATGATAATAAATGGTTGTCATCGTCTTTAAAGGGTTCCCAGTTGAGGGGGGAAAGACTGTTAAGCAAACAAGGAATTGTTTAGCTGTTATGCCATTGGTTGAGTGAAATAAACCTGGAAGTAGTTTGAAAAGAAATCAAAACTAAGAGAAGGGCACTTCTGGTGATTTATAAGACTAGCATTTTACACATATAACCTACAATTAAACAGGAAGGACTTTAGATCAAATAGTTAAGATCCAATTTGACTAGTTCCATAGTAATATCCTGCCACCTGTTGAAACATAAAATAAATATGACCCTGGCCAAATCCAAACCATCCATAGAAGGATATGTGAAAAATCACTGATTTGTGATTTATGACCACAAGGACTAACTATTTTGTTTGCAGTCCCACAGATAATTTGCCAGAGCATGAAGAAAAGTTTAATTTTGAATAGTTTGTTTAAAATATTTATTTATTCATTCCTTTTGAACCATGAAGGTAGTACATACATGTAGAAAATTAGAACACAAAAAAGCATAAAAAATAGGAAAATTTCTACCAAGTTATTCAATAAAAAATTGTGGACAACCAAGCTCCAAGCATAAAAAGCTACGACGTCCTGATTGTGTGTGTGTACTGTGGAGTTTGTGTTGGCTCATTCTCTGCTCTGTACCCTGCAGCTCTGTCGGGCCCCAGCCTTGTTCGCATGGTGGCGATTTGCGTTGACTCCATCATAACACACCTGGACAGGTTGGAGGAGGTGACCAACAAGTCAGGCTACGTTGATGTGTTGACCCTCATGCGGCGCATCATGCTGGACACCTCTAACGTGCTCTTCCTGGGGATCCCCTTGGACGGTACTGGAATTTTCACTCTCAAAACTTGATTGTGCCCTTTATTGAACAAGGGGGCGAGAGGGGTAGCAGACTAAAGGAAACACACACCGTTTCGTACATTGCTCTTGTCTAAACATTGCTAACTATTCCTAAGCATTTTTTCCCTAGCATTTCTGCCTTGCTCACTTATAAAATATAAATTTCCATAAAGTAGGGACCAGCTTCTATTTCTTTTGGATCTCTCCTTATCGCTGTAGGAAATAGTACTCTACTCACAGTCAAAACTTAAATGTGCTCTGTTCATTTGACCATTAACACACCCTACCACCAATCAAACTTATATTTAACTACTTCCAACCATTCTTTTGGGCATGAAATAAATATACATACATACGTATATACACATACACACACGCCCTTCCCTCAAAGCTACTTAATATGAAGACTTTGACTCTATGTGGTAAAAATGGTGATGCTGCAGCTGCCTGTAGCTGCTATGTGTCTGCTCTCTTCCAAGCAGTGTAAAAAGTTGCTTTGTGTACACCGTTGCCATTTAATACTTATGACAACCCTGACAAGATGTTTCACTCAAAATGTTACTTTCCTCACTATGATACAGAAACGAGTATTAAAACATGCGCACGCAACTCTACCACCACCAAAAACCAAATATTAATCATTTGGATTAATTCCATTCTGCTGTTGACATTAAGTATGTCCAGGCTTAATGTGATTTTTTTTACTGAATTAATTCACAGCAGTGTTCATTGTTTCATAGATTCATTCAACAAACATTTGTTGATTGCTTGTTCTATGCCAGACACTGTTCTAGGTTCTCGGGATAGAGCAGTGAACAAGACAGATAAAAATCTTGCCTTCAAGGAGCTTACATTCCAGTGGGGAAAGGACCGTAAAACAAGTAAACATCTAATAAGATATTAGGCAATAATAAGTGCCTGGAAGGAAAAACAAGGCAGGGAAAGAGGACAGAAAGCGAAGGAGGGGTCCATGGGATGGGGCATGACTGTCTTGGACAGAGTGGTCAGAAACGGCTTCTGCAGAGAGGACATTTGAACACAGCTCAGATGAAGGGAGGCCACGAGCCACGTACAGATGTGAGGGCAGTGCATTCCAGGCAGAGGAACCACGCTACTTTCAGCACCTGCCCCGGCCACCTGAGCCACGGTGTATGCTGCCTGGTTTACCACATTTGGACAAATAGTCAAGCTCCCTTTCCCCTTCCGGCTCTCATTGCCTCGCCTCCCCGACCCTGGCTCCTCCTCACAAGAGCTGTAGGAGCCTCATCTGATTTGGGTGTGAGCCCCCACTCACTTGGAGGATTTTTAGTCACACTCTCTTGCCTGGTCCCCTTCCACTGCCAGCGTGCCTGTTCTACAGACGTCGCTTCTGAAGTTAGGCAGGCTCGTATTTCACAAGCCCAGGCTCCTGGGCACCCCTCCAGCCTAGATTGTTAGGTAGGATCATGGAAAGGGTGTTGTAAATCTCTCCATCATGCTAGAGAACCTGCATAACCCATACAGAGTTACATCAATTTCCTTTCCACCAGGTCCTTGTCAAACTCTCCATTTGCCTAGGGGACCCAAAGAGGAAATGACATCGCCCTGAGGTCAGATAGAACAAGCTGCAGCCTAAGAGCCTGCCTGTCACACTGGCTGTATGGTGTTGGGCAAGTTTCTTAACTTCTCTGAATTGTAGTTTCTTCAACTGCACAATGATGACACTATTACTCCCCTGGCAAGATTGTAAGGATTAAATTAAAAATCTCTTTCATAAAGCACTTTCCACGGTGGCTGGTATTTGGCAGTTGAAAATGTCTGTTCCCTTCCCTTTTGTGTATTGATGTGGTATAATTTGAAAAAGCAGGGGTTTTCTTTCCTCTAGTATTCAATTTAATTAAACAAATATTCATTAAGAGCTGACTATGCATGAGGCTCAGGACAAGGCATTGAAGAAACTAAGATGAATTCTATACTCTGGACCTGTTATAATGAATATGAAAGCCATGTGACGAGGGCTAAGGAAAAAATGAATAAAGCACTATGAGATGAGAATACTGCTAGGAGCTATTAATTAGGTGTGTCATCCGAGTAGATTGACCACTTAATGGCTCTGCTTACCCAACACCAAATGAAGTTAAAATGTGGCTATCAACTTCCTAATAGGCTCTGCTTTTTGTTTAACCCCACCCCCAGGTGCCAGAGTCAAGACTGCAACAGCCACAATTACTAGTCCCCTTTGTCCAGAAAAACAGGAGAGAGTTGAAGGCTTGGCCAAAGGGAGGACATGTGAGGTCCTAAACTGTGTCTCAAACACAGTCTCAAAAATGGACAACTCCTGTGTTAACCGGGCCAGGTTAGATGCCAAGCACAGTAAATCGGTGCTCGATTTGTTTAGTGGCATTCACATGGCGAAAAAGCCCACAGAAGGTGGAACCTTGCTCAGCTTGGTTCCCAGACTGGTAGGACAATCTATGGGGAATGTTCTTTGCTCAGAGTACCCTTCTTGGGCTCCCATTTTGCTACATTCTCAATTGCTCTCTTTTGTTTTTTCCCCCAGAATCTGCCATCGTGGTTAAAATCCAGTGTTATTTTGACGCGTGGCAAGCTCTTCTTCTCAAACCAGACATCTTCTTTAAGATTTCGTGGCTGTACAGAAAGTATGAAAAGTCCATGTAAGTAAGACACATTTGTAAGATGTATGAGTACAGTTGGCTTGTGTTTTTTTCCTTGTGTCTTGGCTGTTGTTTTTGGCCTCTCCGGTAAGTTTTCTGCTCTCCAGAACCCACAAGGAGCTATTAATTACGTTTCTGATGAAATACGTCTCAGGCATCTGGCCAGACCAAAGAGTAAAAGGAAGACTTTGGCCCAGCAGCTTCTCAGCAAGAAGGCTTAGTGTGTGGTCTGAAAACTTTCTGGAACTAGGACACTGCAGTATATTTTGAGTTGAAGAAGAGGGTTGGCCAATCCTATCATTAATATCTGTTGAAATTCTTTGCGTAACTAGAAAAATGGATTACAGAATCACTTTATAGTTGTGTGGTTTCTGAATGAATTTAACGTAATTCAACCTGTAATAATTGACAGTAGTCTCAAAAGAATTTTTTTAATGGATATAATGAACTTCAATAAAATGTGTGATTTTTTTTTTTTTTAGTTGTATAGGTCATGTTTTGGAGGCCCTGAAAATGTCATTAAATGGCTTTGTTTTGGTCTTAGACTAGTCCAGCAGGAAACTAGACAAAGCCTGGTTTTTAGATTGCCAGTAGCCAGTGGAAAGCTCATGAGACCTAAAGGCAGGCAGTCCTAGTTTGTATCCTGTCTCCACCACTCAGTAATTAAATGGGCTTTGGAAGTTATTTAAGATAAAATATAACCTACCTTCTAGAATAGGGTATAGGTTAGTGAGATTATGTATGTAGAGCAATTAGTATAGTGTATGGAACATAGTGGGCACTCAATATGTTAGTTTCCTCCTTCCCACTTTTCATAGCTTCCTCAGATGCCCCGCATCTTAGGTTCTCCATCTCTACAAGTTCCCAAACTTGTTGAAGACCCAACTTTATTCTATTTGTGGATTTTGAAATTCAGTAATATTGGTTTCTAGGGAGGAAGGCAACTTGATGTTGCCTTGTATATTCTCCAGCAGTTGATGAATATTAGGTGAATGTTTTAGACACTTTATACATTTAATTTCATTTCTAACAGAGTTTACTGTGACTTGAATCAATTAGATAAAGGATTCATCTCTTCACTGTGATCAGATTTGGTGGCGGTGATGGTGGTCTGCAGAGTCTCGTTATACAGTTCTTGGTCATTATTTAGCCTTCGCCTTGGCCATTTGGCCTATAGAAACTTACTGCATTAGACTGTATAATGGTTTCTTTGAGGTTTCTATAGAAATTAGCTCAGCAACATGCCCTCTATGTATAGCATTTGCCAATGGTTAGTGTTCTAGTTTATATCTCCTATGTCTTAGAGTAATAAAGACTCAGAGAAATCTTTTAATCTCTTCCCCTTATGCCCTTGCAATAATGCCAGTACATTATAAAGATACATTTGTGGGAAGGGTAACTGAGACATCTACCTCCATTCCTATTCAATTTTATATGTATGCCTCTTTTAATTTTCAAATATTACAGCACTATTGTTCTTTAATTTTTAGTGTGGCAAATTTAAGGCTTTTTCAGCCACATAATACCTTAAATAGGTGTTTGTAGGCTGGGCTGGTAACCTAGCCACCACCGTTTTGGTGCAAAATGTATCCAGAGTTCCAAACAACAGGCTTACAGATGCATTCTTGTAACATGTTTGTAAGTCAGAGACTTCCTATTCCCTGAAAATTGTCATTGAACTCAATTCTCCCAGTTTTGAAGGGCATATAAATTCGGATGCATACATTTATGTAGGGCCAACTTTTACTAATAATGTGAATAGGAGAGATCCCAATGGGCGTTCAAGGCAGCTGATGCAAAACTGTGGATTCTGGCCCAGGGAGAAAGTAAGTGCTCAGTAGTGGCTGTAGTTCCTTCAAGGAACTCTCTATGAATTTGGAGTATAGGGGCATTCCAACACCTGGGCCATTTGGGGGTATTGCTCAGATAGGAACACTGTGAGCATTCTCAGCCTACTAGGAAGGGGGCACTACAGGCCAGATACTTAGTTAAGTGAGTATCTGTATGTAGGTGATGCTCAATGAATATTCAGTGAATGAATGGATCAACAAGGTATGTAAGTGGCCCTGTCAAAAGGAATTTGACGAAAAGATTTATTATACATTTAATATAATACAGAATATTGTTCCCTGGGGTCAGGAAACAATACATTTACAATGAACACATACACTTAAGGACAGAGGCAGGACTAACAGGATTTAGATGCAATGTGACCTTAATATTCATCTAGTCTGGGCCCTTCATTTTAAAAGAAATGTAGGGGGCCAGGCGTGGTGCCTCACACCTGTAATCCTACCACTCTGGGAGGCCGAGGTGGGCAGATCATTTGAGCTCAGGAGTTCAAGACCAGTCTGAGCAGGAGCGAGACCCCGTCTCTACTGAAAAAACAGAAAGAAATTAGCTGGACAATTAAAAATATATATATAAAAAATTAGCCTGGCATGGTGGTGCATCCCTGTAGTCCCAGCTACCTGGGAGGCTAAGGCAGGACGATTGCTTGAGCCCAGGAGTTTGAGGTTGCTGTGAGCTAGGCTGATGCCACGGCACTCCAGCCAGGGCAACAGGGTGAGACTCTGTCTCAAAAAAAAGAGAGATGTAGGGCTCAGAGACTTAAAGTGGGGTACATAGAAAGGGAACAACCTGGACTAGAACCTGACCCTCTGTCCAAGGTGCTCTTCCCTCAAGCACACCATCAAAATACATATACACACTTATACAGCTAATCATTCATTCAACAAATATTTCCTTAGTGTTTACTACGTGGCAGAAACCACAAGGTGTGAGGATAAATACCAAGAATGATACGCAGTCACTTGAGTTTACTGTCTGGAACAGGAATCTCAAACTCAATAGTCTACAGAGGTAGGCGAATAAAAGTGAGCTGTGTGGGTATAAGCCAGCAGGAAATGGAGGAGCTTGGGGCAAATCAAGAGTGCATCCCCCGGAAGCCATTCACATATTTTTTTGGTTTTGTTTTTTAATTTAAACGCTGTGCCTGCCAAATCAGAAATTGGAAAATATGGTTAGATTTAGCCTTTGGTAGCAGTTTTTAACCCTTAACTAGAAAGTCACAGCTTTGATTTGCGACCAGTATCTAAAAATCTAAGTAATTCTAGTACTTTAACATGAAGTATAAGGTATACGTATTATAATTCAAGGATATTTATAAAGAAATAAAATAGAAATTCACTTATTCATAAGCACCAATGGCTTCCATTAAAGTAGATCATTTTATTTAAACAAATGGCAAATGAATCTATTTTGCTAGATGTCTAAACTGAATACAAATAGACTGTATTTTGACTTTTTTTCCAGCAAGGATTTGAAAGATACCATAGAAATTCTGATAGAAGAAAAAAGACGCAGAATTTCCACAGCAGAGAAACTGGAAGAATGTATGGACTTTACTACTGAGTTGATTTTTGCCGAGGTACTGACCTGGACTACCCATAATTCCCATGCAATATATGTTATGACTGTTTCTGTAAAGGTGTGTAAAGATCCACTTTTGTAATTGTTGCATATTTCTGCTTCTAACTATTTTCTCCAGCAGTTCTATAATACCCAACTCAAATAGTCCATACATTAGACATTCTAGTAAGACTGGCCTTTAAGATTAAAACTATTCTGTGACACAATACAAAATATGAAAACAGGAGGGGAGGACCAAACACGCTGAATATATAGATAATTGTCTTGTTTATCTCTCAGCTGAGGATTGTCATGGAAGATGTTCGTAGTCAACTACAGAGACATGTCATTTCTATGATTTCATTTTGTTGAGGTTGTTGATACTTGAGGGTCATCTCCCCTTATTTTTTGAAACAATGATTCACTTTTCCAATGTTTCCCCCTCTTTCAATTGTTCAGAAACGTGGTGACCTGACCAGAGAGAACGTGAACCAGTGCGTCCTGGAAATGCTGATCGCAGCCCCTGATACCATGTCTATCTCTGTGTTTTTCTTGCTGTTCCTCATCGCAAAGCACCCTAAGGTGGAAGAGGCAATAATGAAGGAAATCCAGACTGTTGTTGGTAAGAATTTATCAAATAAATCATAGAGCTTAAAAAACAATTCCTTCTGAATGTCAGCTTATGTCAAACACAAAATCTTTCGTAATCCGCTCAGAACAGTAAAGCAAGCCATTGTGTCACATTTTGATTATGCCAGATAGGTTGAAAAGGCAGTTCTTTCTGTGTATCTGTGTGTGTGTGTGTGTGTGTGTGTGTATGTGTTTAATTATAAAAATAATACATGCTCATTGAAAAAATTCAAATAACAGAGAGCTGTGTAAAGCAGAAAGTGACATGGCCCGATCCCTTTCTCTCTCCTCCCTAAGCTCATTCCCACTCCCCGACATAATTAATTGTTTGCTATGTATTCTTCAAGATCCTTATCCGTGTGCACACAAATACATATCTGCGGTTGGATCTGTAAGGGGAAGGACTGCGAGAGTGCTCTGACCAGACTAGCCCTTTCCTAGATGGCTTAGTTGTACCAGAGGCAGGGCTGCCTCAGAACCCTGGGCTATTTTTGATTCTGCAAAAGTGGCAGCCCGTTTGAGGATGCTCTGAAGCTTTGCCATGTGTGGGAGTAATCCGAGCCTCTTTGACCAGTGTCAGGCCAATCTGAGATGGCAGGGCAAGGGCGGGGGATGGGGGGGTCGGTCATCAATCCCCAACTCACTGGGGGCAGGTCTGAGGCACCTATTTCATTGTTGGTGGGGAGAGGGGAGTTCTTGTCACTCTACTGCAACAGGTTGTTCTTGATGAGACACAGAGGAACTAATAGTGACACTTATGGGTAGATGACGGCACAGGTAACCAGAGGAGGAAATTTCATTGAAATGGGTGAAATCCATCATCTCATTTTGACTATGCAGTAACATACTGATCCATCTCTGGGATGGTTGTGGTGCTAGTTTGCTCACAAATCAAGAGAGGGAATGAATGTCTCCTACAATTTAGAGTAGGGACAAAAATGCAAAGACTTCAGGGGCCAGGCTGGTAAGATTAATGTTTGATGCAGACTAGGTGTGGTCTACGTGGAAATGCAGAGTGTGCGCCCCCTCCACAGGAGAACCAGCCGCTCAGCTTCAGCCCACTGTTGCCATGTGGAAATGTGGATCTAGTGTTACCAAGTTTTCTGATTTTTCTGGAACTCTGGGCTTTTCTATAAAATCCGTCAGGTTTTAAGATCATTGGCTTCATATTTGATTTTTTATAAACACTCTGTGGACCAAACATAGCGTATTTGTCTCTGGTTGCTGGAGTATGTTAGAATTACAGACATAATTTTTTTAACTGAGAGCAAACTGTTCTGTGGAAAAAATAGGAGCTTTAGTGCTCATCCCATATTAAAACTAACTTACCTTCTTTGTCCTTTTTATCTGCTCCCACAGGTGAAAGAGACATAAGGATTGAAGATATGCAAAAATTAAAAGTGGTGGAAAACTGCATCTATGAGAGCATGCGGTACCAGCCTGTCGTGGACCTGGTCATGCGCAAAGCCTTACAAGATGACGTCATCGATGGCTACCCAGTAAAAAAGGGGACTAACATTATCCTGAATATTGGAAGAATGCACAGACTCGAGTTTTTCCCCAAGCCCAATGAATTTACTCTTGAAAACTTTGAGAAGAATGTAAGAGCCCTTCCTTAAAACCAAGTGTGCCACTCTTGAAAATGTCAACTGTTGAATCTGCTCCAGTTCTGTGTGTCAGCACCATGCACATTTCATTCTTTTACTCATCCCCTTCGGCCACCTCAACCACGAGCACAGGTGTCCCCTAACTTGGAACAGGGCTACCATAGTCATCCTCAAGCCAAGGATGCTGGGTCTCCAGCTCTGAGAAATATCTACATGGTGGCCGCACACTAGGTCAAAACATGAAAAATCCAAGCCCTTAATTTGGCTAAAATGAGGCAGATTTTGCTTCACCCAACCTGCTTTTCCATGTAAACTTATCACTTTGTCTTCATGGCATCAGACTTAACTATAGCACCATATGAGCAAAGTCCACTTCTGCTTCAGATGGACATCAAATGAGACCAAAAAACTTGGTTTTATCAATGTCCCTTTGGTTCACCAAATGGCCCCATGAGCAGCAGGTCCCATTCTAAATAGGATTCAATGATTACAAGAAAGTCAACTGCTGCTTTTATCACTCATGTGTACTGGATATGCTGCCTTCATTATGTCAAATTTTAGGCAACAATGTTTTTAAACCTGAATTATCTGGGGAGTTCCCTCAATACCCTCTTTTCCATTTGCATATGATGTAGAAACATGATGCTAATTAATCCGGTACTCTAATTCATTATGTTTCTACACAGGCAGTCCAGTTAATCTAGGTAAATCAGCCAACTGGTCAACAAAGTTTATTGAACATCTGCTATGTGCCAGATACTATGTAAGTCCAGATATGGAAAAAACAGACAGATGTGGTCCTCATTAATTTTCTGCATAAGTAAAAATAGATAGTTGGTATTGATGGACCAGGTATCTGCATTTTTGCTTGCATTCATCCCTTTTCATCAGGTTATATGGCACCACACACAATCTCTGCCTTGGTGACTTGCAAAATAGTAGTGAAGGTATGGCTCTTTCACAGAGCTAGTCGCGCATACTAACATCGGCTGTAGTAAGATGATTTGCATTGCTTTACCCCAGCACACAGGGAAAGCAAAACTGGGGACTGTCTAAGGTTGAGTCTGTATCACAAGGGTTGAATCAAACAGGATGGAGAAAGGGCTTACCTGAATTCCAGTCATTCATCTCAGTAGAGGGGCAGTGTGGCTGAGACCCCAAAACAGAGCATTTTACGAGCCTGAGCAAGAGCAAGACCTAAAAATAGAAAGAAATTAATTGAACAACTAAAAATATATAGAAAAAACTAGCCGGGCATGGTGACACATGCCTGTAATCCCAGCTACTCGGGAGGCTGAGGCAGGAGGATCGCTTGAGCCCAGGAGTTTGAGGTTGCTGTGAGCTAAGATGATGCCACGGCACTCTAGCCCAAGCAACACAGTAAGACTCTGTCTCAAAAAAAAAAAAAAAAAAAACAAAAAACAGAGCATTTTGACTCCCAATGTTTTCAGAATGAATCAAAAACAGAGATTGCATGACTGTTGCCTTTAATACTCTGACTAATTGTCTGATCATTTTCATAGGTTCCTTACAGGTATTTTCAGCCATTTGGTTTTGGGCCCCGTGCCTGTGCAGGAAAGTACATCGCCATGGTGATGATGAAAGCCATCCTCGTGACACTTCTGAGACGATTCCATGTGCAGACGTTGCAAGGAAAGTGTGTTGAGAACATGCAGAAAAGAAATGACTTGTCCTTACACCCTGATGAGGCCAACAACCTTCTGGAAATGATTTTTGTGCCAAGAAACTCAGACAAATGCCTCGACCACTAAAGAAAGCTGGCCAGTACCTACTCTGGAGCATTTCTCTCATCAGTAGTTTACATGGAAATCATCCATCCTTACCAGGTAGAGTCATCCTCAGAGTGAACATTCTGTGGCGCGTGGTGTTCTCTAGGCGTACCTCCTATGGGTTGTCCACAAGATGGGAACCGTCAGTCATCTGCTGTTGCTCAACGCAGAAAGCCAGGCTGCCAGAGAAAAGACAGAGGCCAAGAGTCTGCAGGGGAAATGGTCAGTGAAGAAACTGCAGCTCTAAAGGCCCAATTCCACAAAATGTGCTTCAGAAAGGACAGGCCATCAGCAAAAACGTATGTCTGGTTTCCCGCTGGATCTCCAAGGCCCTGCCCCAAGGGCATTTTCATGTCCCAGGCAGAAGCACTCAAGTTTATTAGAAGAGCCAAGCCAATGTCTGGGTATCAGGGCCAAACATACCTGCTAGTGTAGACAAAAATACTTTAATTTGGTTTCTTTGGGGGTGGGATAGCAACTTTCATAGTCTTTGGAGAAATGCTTACAAATTCAGCACTTGACTTTTCCCGTGAATTATGCCCAATTAACTCCTATTTATCCACATGTGATCTGTCTGTGACATAAGTTAAATCGGAGGATGTCCCTTCCTAGTCTCTCGATTCAGGCCTCATTCTCTTACCTCTGCTATAGTAGGTATAGGTTCAGGCAATACAAGCTAACTTAGTAATAGCTTGAGTGAAATATAGTGAGGAGAGGACCTTCTATTTGCTGTAGGGAAAAAAAATCACATGATGCATTTCAAATTAAAATAAAAATCCTCTTTGCATGTTTGCATTGTTGCTTAGCTTAATTAGTGTGGCTAACCAAGGGATAACTTTAAATATGGCATCTGTTAGCTCTTACTATAGCTTCAGTGATTGGGGGAGGAAATGTTCTCTAAGTCTATATCAAAGTCTACAACCCAGTGGTTCAAACTTCTAAGAAATGCTCATGCCATCTTATCCTCCTCCTCCCTCGACATTTTCTCCCTTTCTTTCTTTCCATGACCCCAAAAGCCAAGGGCAACAGATCAGTAAAGAAAGTCGTCAGAGGACAACCCCTCCAATCATTTTTTATCCTACCTCAGATTTAACAGTTACCTGAAAGACTTAGCAGTTATTTAGTTTATTAAATCATTGCATGTAGCCATGGGTAAAATGTACACTTTGGAATTAGCTCTCTAGCAGTAGTCCCCAACCTTTTTGTGGGGTGTTGGGGGGAAGGTGGATGAAGCTTCACTCGCTCACCTGCTGTTCACCTCCTGTTATGTGGCCATGGTTCCTAAATTTCATGGAAGGTGGTGGGTTGGGGTTGGGCAGGGGGCGGGGTGGGGGCAGTGGAGCTCTGCAGCATGGTCTCTAACAGGCTGGGTCCCTAACAGAGGTTGGGGACCACAGCAGGAATCAAATCAATCAAATCATATATAGCCAATATGACTATATCTATTGAGTGTCATTGAAAACCTAAAAAATTAAACTTATTTACAAATATGTAAGTGTTTGCCATTGAGTCAATAGCCATCCCATTCTATTTGAATATTCTTTTCATCCTACTGTCTAGCAATAAGGCAATAGCTGAGTATAAAATGAGAGTGTAATCTGCCTGACGGCAGGAGCTGTTTTCTTTCTTTTGTAATCCATCCCCAACCCCCCATCTGACTCCCCGTCTTTACTGTCAAAATCAATTTGTAATAGACACTTGTTCATAGATACTCTCAACTGATCCAGAAACCAAGTAAAAAGGCAGGTATTCTACGAATTCAAGGATGGACATTAATAAAAGACACATTCGAACTTGGAATTATTTGGATCTATGTGATCTAAATATACATGGACTATGCCTATGTACCTGAATATGTCTATAGTCAGGTCTAAACAATCATCCAACTGATTTAGACCCCTGAAAGCAAGGCCCGGATTTGAGATTTAATTTTTCCAAGTTAGTTCACTTGGTGATTAGTAACACACTGTTTACATTACCTCTGGCTGGAGCTGCATGGTAGAGGAAAACAGACTTTGGATCAGTGTACTTCACCCATCCAATGCTCTTGGGACACTTATGTGTATTTTATCTGTATATATATAGCCAAGGCCTACAACTCTGCAGTCCAAGTGAAATGACAGGTTGAGATAGTTGTATATAGATAGTGCAGGTACAGAAGAACCACACTGGGGGAGACCTGAGGATTGGGAGCGGGGGTGAGGGACATGGGGTGGACAGGCAGAGGGGAAGTGCTGGTTGAAATGACCCAAGCAAACTCTCCTAGAGTCAAGTTATCTGGATAGTTGTTCAACTTTTCATTCTGCTTGGCCTGTATAGACAAAAATGCATGTGTTTATATAGGCTTGGCCTAAGGAATTTGGAATACCATCGACTTTTCAGTAGGCTGACAAACATATATTTGAAAATCCTATTGTCTTTTCAGAATTTTATCTCATTGTTAAGTACTTAATTGTCACTCCTGAATGTGCTGTGGATTCTATTTTCATCAGTTCTCAAAGAACTGGAATCTGTAAACTATCAGTGAAATGCATGCAAACAAGGGCTCTATCACTGTCAAATTGTGAGTACAATTGTACCTGTCCATCCTCAAGTGTACCAGACACCCCCCCAGGCCTTCACTGGGATCCCACTGTCCCCCTCCCAAATAGAAAATAATCACATTCAGAAAGCCCTCTCATTATTGAGAAATACCAGTTGGAAATTGTCACTTTTTATTTCTAAGCAGCATATTTCACCATCCACAGTGCTAATATTCCACAGCATTGGCCCAGTGAAGAATGCCAGCTGGACCCTTCTCCATTGCCTGTGTCAGCTGGGGATTGAATCTCTCACCTATTCTCGCAGAAAGATGTGCTAAATTAAATTTTGTCAAAGCAATGAGTTGAATGAAATTTGTGAGACTTTGAGTTACTCTTAGCTCAAAGAACAAAGTCAAGGGCTTAACCTTCCAGGGTTCAACTCAGAGAGGGCTTTCCTGAGTGAACTCTCATTGCTTCTCTGCAGCTTTTAGCAAGTATTGGCCTATGTCGAGAGAGTCAGTGGCCATAACCCTGTTTCCACCAGGTCAACAAGACAAACGGGATGTACTTAGGGCAACCTGTCATCCAATCTAGCTCATTAAGTGTACTCTATCCCTCTCTCTTCCATCAAGAAAGCATTTCAGGCCGGGCGCGGTGGCTCACGCCTGTAATCTTAGCTCTCTGGGAGGCTGAGGCGGGCGGATTGTTTGAGCTCAGGAGTTCGAAACCAGCCTGAGCAAGAGCGAGACCCCGTCTCTACTAAAATTAGAAAGAAATTAATTGGACAACTAAAAATACCTAGAAAAAAGCCGGGCATGGTGGCGCATGCCTGTAGTCCCAGCTACTCGGGAGGCTGAGGCAGGAGGATCGCCTGAGCCCAGGAGTTTGAGGTTGCTGTGAGCTAGGCTGACGCCACGGCACTCACTCTAGCCCGGGCAAAAGAGTGAGACTCTGTCTCAAAAAAAAAAAAAGCATTTCACAGACAAAATAAATGAGAAACACACAAATACAATAATAAGAATTATTATAAGAATAACCTTGCATCCACTCTAATTTTTAAGCAAAAGCAAAAGGTTTGTTTCACAAACCTCAGTATTTTAATTTATTAGTAAAATGTTTCTTGCAATGAAAGTCTGAAGTTACAAGATGCTGAAGTTGAGAGCCTGTGGTCCAGGTGATTTTTAAAGTTCTTTTCAGCTCTATGACTCCAGATGTGGGACTACATTAAAAAATAGGGAGTGGTTTTAAAAAAACAGTAATTTACTATAAGCACACAGTGTGCAAAGCAGACCTCAAGATGGTCCTATAATTGCCCTTATTTTGGCCAAATTGGCAAATGCCAAGAAGCCCATTATGATTGACAGCTATTATGCAATTTCTTCAACTGGCAAGGATTCTTGATATGAATGAAATATTCAGTGCCTCATGTTGTTACTTCCAAATAGCCAGGTGTTCGGGTGTGGAGGAGACACAGCAAGACACACAGGCACAAGGGATTCCTCTTCTAGCCTAGTTAGATGGATGAAGCCCTGATGGATGAAGAGCTGAGAGCACACCACCCTCCTGCCTCCTTCCCATTCAGTTAGTGTGAAAGTGAGTTCTTTCAGGCCAGGAAAATAATAGTAACTGTAGTTACTTTCTTACTATATTAAGCCCTTCTACACAATCATTTCATTTACTTCCCTCAACAATACCATGAGGTAGGTATTATTCCCCCCAACCATCCATTTTTGTTCCTTTGCTACCTGCTTGGTAGAATTTCCCTCCCCTGCCCACACATCCCCCAACACACATGGCTAGTATCTCTGGCTCCGTTGTCAAAACCTGCTCTCTAGCAGATTAAAATTTCCCCAAGTTACAGAGCATTGCTAAGGCTCGAAATGTTATCCTCCCTTGCCACAGAGGTTTTTGTTTTTCTAGGGAATTGCACAAAATATTACAGGTATCAATAAGCTGAGCCTGTGGGAGGAGAGATGGAGGGAAAGGAGGTAATACCTTCTAGATACCCCTAAAATGATAACACCTGCTTTACCTGCACACGAAGCTGGTCCCGCCTATACTGTGGGGTTTAGGTTGCAAGATTCCCCAAGTCAGGATGTCTATAGGAGCCAGGCAGGTAACATAAATTGGATGACCAGGCCAGCTGGAAGTAGAGCCTGTGGGAGGAAAAGAGAATGCATCCTCTAAAGGCATTCAAGGTCAATGTTCTTAAAATACAGTGTCAGCCAAACCAAATTCATCCTTGAGCTGGATTGGGCCCATAGTTCAAGGGCTCTAACATCAATCCCCTTTCACCCATCCAGTAAGGAAGACAGAGAAATCCCCATTTCACTGGTGTGAAAACTGAAGCCCAGCGAGGTTGAGTGGTTTGTCCAAAGCCACCCAGTAAGTGCCAGATCCAGGACTCCCCCAGGGATCTCAGCTCCAAGTCCAGGAGCCATTTGACTCTACTCGGCCCTGCGTCCCTTCATAGCTGTGCATATTCTGGTAGTTACTTGGGTGCCCTTAACGCCAGTCTGAACCATAGAAGCTCCATCTACAAACATGGATTACACCAGAGGAGCTCCACAGTCATTCCCAATGCCTTCATTATGTTAAGTTACTATTTTGCTTCATAAACATAGCAGCATTTTCTCCCTTTGCATCCAAGCCCTAATAGCAAATTGACCATCTAAGGCAATCTCACTTTCAGGTCAAACATGTAATTCGGCCACTGAAAGGATGATTTGGGCATCCATTGTGGTGCGCTGGCGGGCTGCAAGCCCCCAAACACTCATATGTCTGCGCGTGGCCCTAACTAACTGCTGTGGGGGATGAGGATGTTAGTGGAACACATTTAACTCACAAATAATTACTTTATTCCCTATTTGAACTTGCAGGCAAACCAATGAATTTGTTGAAGCATATTATCTTTTTTTTCTGAGTGGCCTTGGTTTCATACTCGAACCAAGTGAATCGCTAAGACTCAGTAATACCTCCCTTCTCTACTGAAATTAGTATTTTCTCTGGGCAGCAACAACTGCTCTGGCACTCTTACCATCTTCCCAAAATGCAGCTGCTGCCTTCACTACTCATGT